GGGTACATGCAAAGGTACCGGCCGACGGGGGGAAAAAAACGAAGAAGCCAGATATGGTGAAACGTTGACGTCAAAATGAACGCCATCGGGGTGAATAATTAACTTAGGATGGTTCAGTGATTACCAAAGATCACGTTACGAGCGGAAAGCAGATTTTCGGCTCGACGAAGCGCTAACGCGGCGGAGGGGCGAGATATGGACGAAAGCTCGGCTTTTCACGGAATTTTCTTCGAAATCGAAGACCGGCTCATCAAATCGAGCCGGCCAATCATTACGGGGGTCGACACCTACCAGAAATACATTTATCGGAAACCCATTTCTCCTCAACGAGAGCATTTAACGTCGAAATTTTGGGCTCGTTAAAGCCCCCGATTTTTCGCCTGCGGTCCAAAACGGATTTAACAGCGACGAGCTTCATTCCGCCAATTTTCTTTTTTTTTTTTGAAATTTCATTCACAATTTCTCCCCTGGCAAAATTCACGGTCAGGAGATTCCTGGGTACGAAATCCACTATCTAGAGAGAGGGCCTGGAATTATGAATAAAATTCAATAACCATGAATTCCTGATTTTGAATTTCAGCGTTTCAGAAAGAAGGGGGGAAATCTCGATACGTATATAAAAGTCGCAAGATCGGAGGTAACCGAGAAAATTGAATTTTCGCAGGATTTCTCGAAATTCATCCCAGGGGTTTGAAAGGGACTTGAAATGGTTATTTTTTTAGAAATGGGTAGATAGGAATACTTTTTATTGAAATCTCTTAGACACGGGTAATTGTGAATATAAATTTCTGGTCTACGATCTCCGGGTAGAAATGGCGATGCCGTCTACGTACCACTACCCCATATCCCATTTATTAGATAAAAGGGACACCTCCATACTTTGATATTCACTGCGACTCGTAATTCTGGAACGTCGTCCCGAGAGTATAGCACCCCTGTCCCCGCCACCCTCGTAATCCCGACGACCCCTGGAGAGTGCACGGCATGTACGACAACCCCTCGCGGCAGCGACGCGGAATCCTTTCACATTCTCGGCGTTATTAAATCTCAAGTATCGAATATTTCTCCCGGGGGAAGCGATCCGTCGACGGGGAGCTGCGCTCTTCCCGGTACCGCGGCGTTAAACGCGCACCTCGGAAGGACGTAGTCGACGTCGGCCGTCGACGGCGTCGCCCCGACGCGGCGTCGACGCGCCGTTAAGAGTACAGTCTCGTCGACGGGGGACCAACGAGTTTCCGATAAACGCCGGATGCAGTCGGCCGTATTGCTGAATAATGCGTGCCAGCCCTCGAACCACCCCCGCGTCCATTCGCCATCTCCGGGGAGAACTTTCCCGCTCGTAAAAAAAAAGAAAAGGAAAAGAGAGGAAGAATAAAAGGAAACCGTAAACAGGCGCCACCTTTCTTCCTTAAGTATGCGCGGTCGTCCATTAGAGTCGAGCACCCCTTCGGGGCGTAAAAGAGAAACAGAAAAATAAATAAGCCAAAGGGTGGCCTTTCTTTCGGAGCGGCACTCCCTCGATCAGCTGTTCCCTCCTTTTAAAAAATGTCCACACATGTTACGACCAATTGGTGCGATATAGACGTGAAGCTTAATGTTTGACGTTTCGAGATTAAGAGCTCTTGAGGGAGTACCTATTCCAGGGGAAATTAAATACACGAGGGTGTCGCGGCAGGGAGGGTAAGGCGTTTTCCGCGATTGTTCGTCATCGGGCGTCGTGTCCTGGACGAGGGGATGCATCCGCGCGGAGAGATTCAGGAAATCTTTCTGGAGAACGTCTCGTGCGTATTTACGTCGACGCGATTTTTCCAAAAAATCGTACGCGGCGATTTTTCCACCCGGGGACGGCAATTTTCCAGAGTGGGTCCTGAGGAGCACGCGGCGACGAATCGTCCACTTTGCGTCGAGGGGAATATTTAACGTCCTTCGAGGAACCGCGAGGATTCCCTTCGCCGAGCTGCACGCGGGCCTGAGAAATGTCCCCGAGCGACGCGATGGATCCTACGCCTTCCCTCGGGAAGAATGTTTAATGCCACTCCCGGATACCGAGGAACAATGGCGTCCCCTTTGTTGGGCGAGGCCGGAGGGCGGAAAATCGCGGGAAAAAATGGGCCAGACGAGGGATCGCTTTTTCGCGCGGGTGGTCTCAATTTCCTGGAATTTCGGTACCCTGGGGGATGATTTTCACCTACACGTGGATATTCTCCCTACTTAGAGTTAATTTGAATTTTCGAATATGGATTTCCAGAGATCGACTTTACGTCGCGGAAATTAGTTCACCGGTTAGGTTAGGAGTTCCGGTTATGGAGTTTGGATATCCAGGGGATGATTTTATACGTGGATGGTGTATTGTTGGGTAGGATAGGTTCGATGAGTTCTTGTTTGGCCATTGTCGGATGAAAATTCAAGCCTTGGAAGCGATTCTCCAAGTGGTAGCGGATGTTGCTTCTTGCCTGGGATGAAAAGCCGAGGAGAGGGACAATCGCCTCGGCGGGACTCGGGGGACGTCCCTCGGGAATCGCCTTAAGGAGCCGGCTTGCGCCTCGTTGCACGCGCACAGACGGAAAGACGCAAAGCGGTGGTTTCCATCGACGCGATCGATCGCAACGAGCCGCGGCGACGTGGCGACATCCTCTCGCCGACCCGAGATGAAGGTCCAAAGATGAAAGCCAGGAGATGACAATTCAAAGTTGAGAGCGCGAAGACGAGAGAAATTAAAGATGAGAGCCCGAGGATGAGAAACTAAAGACGTAAACTGAAAGATGACGACCCAATGATGAAAATCGGAAAACAGGACTAAAAATGAAAAGCCAACGACAAAAGCCCAAAGATGAGAATTGAAAAATAAAAATGGAAAAATGACAACACGAAGATGAGAATCCAAAAATAAGACCCTAAACATGAGAACTCAACGATGCAAAACCCAAACGCGAGAACCCGCCATTAGGGCGGGTTCTCAAAGCAGTTCCAAATCTGCGGCAAAGCTGCACAAGGGCGTGCGAACCAGGGATCGCGTTGCAGCAAGCTGTCCCAGGATGCACCAAGCCGCATCCCGGTCACCTCAAGGATTGTCCCGCCCGGGGCCACCCTTTAGGGGCTTACCAGGTTTCAGGGAAGCTTTAAAGCTCGCAGGACCTCGACAAAGGACATCCCTAACGAGGCTCTCGCGAACTTCCGGCGACGCAGGTCGGGCCATTTCCTGGGGGACTCGCGCATCCTAGGAGCGCACCTCGGGGAAGGTGCAAGGCTTCCCGGCTTTGAGGTTTTCCAGGAGATTTCCTGCGGGACCCTCCCCGATTGAAATTTATTGTTTGCCGATGCGATCCCCGAACTCGGGGACGGACTTTGCGGCCGTTTCTCCTCTCCTTGCCCCGGAAGTGGCGTCGACCGCGGACGAGAATGTGTCTCTGCAAGCACTGCTGAATTGCCCCCCGCAAAGCGAGAGGTTCTCGACCAACAGACGAAGGGGTTGTTGCGCGTCTCGAGGACGTGCACAGAGGAGCCGAGTGAGCCGACAAATGAAGATTCGGTAGGAAAATGAGCATCGCATCACACACCTCCCTCTTTCGCCTCCCAGAGAAATCTCCCGACTTTCGTGAACCCTACACACACATACATGGCGAAAAAAGCACAGGACTAGTATCGTAAATGTTTATCTTTCCCGTTCCACATTCCATACATTTATTTCACGCCACGATAAATTCCGCCCGCTAAGGAACGAAAGCGAAAAAGAGAAGGAGCTTATTTCATGTCATCATATTTTACTTAACACTTAATTATCGTTAATACAATTTCCCTAAACGCTTTGGTTAGAATAATCGCTTTAAATCTGCCAGACAATTCCTCGGACCTGGAGTGGAATAACGATGAAAAGAGGTTTCACTTCGCTATTCCTTGCGTACAGGATGCGATCCTTTCAGGAGGGTCGAATAGGGTCGCAAGGACGAGACCAGGGGGTGAAAATGTCGGACCGAGAAGGTTAATGAAAAATCGAGACTCGGGGATGCGCGAGTAGTCCAAGTGGACCGGAAGGATCTGAACGGGTTCCCCCATCCGTTTAATCGCGTCCTGCCGATGGGGTTGCCGAGTTTCCCCCAGGAAATTCCGCTCGGCGTGAGACGCTTAAGAGCAGGACCTCGGCTCGGATTTATTCGCTCCTTTGGCCGGAGGGATGAAATCGCGTGCCGAGCCCGAAGGGGAGGCGCAACGCCGGGGCGAGAGAAAGAGCTCCACTTCCGGTAAAGAGGTCGCAGGAAGTACCCTATGCCGAGGCAGGAAGCCTCGCGAAAGTGGTGCGTCTTGAGGGTCGCATTTCGAAATTCCAGAGGCCGGGTCAAGAGCGATATTTCGAGGGACAATAGTGACTTATCGTCGGCCTCGCCGGACACTTCACCCCTGCTCGACGATCTCGCCCTTGACGCCGAGAAAAATGCCCTAATTACGCCCACCCTTGCTACGACCACGAAGAAAAAAAAAATCATACTTCCGTGAAACCTCTGATTACGCCAAGTACTTCCTTAAGAAACTCCAGGTCGAGTTCAGTTATTTGCGATCCGACTTCCGGACTACATGGGTCGCTTCACTGATAATGGGAAAAAAAAAAGAAAAAAGTCGGCGGTCACAAAGAAATATGCATTGCGCCAACAAAGTCGTCGAAAGAAATGTCAGAGTAATTGAAATTCGTTTAGATCGGTGATATCAATTTTTTTTCTTCCTTGAGAAAATAATTATTTCTTGCAATTATACATGCCTTGGGCGACAATATATCTTTCGAAAATATATATTTGTTCCGGTAAATCTGTCTTCTTAGAGTGGTGCCTTGTTTACAGGTAGGTATTGTAATGAATGTCACAATTCCGCCCTGAAAATGATATTCGGAGGGAACGCATGGTTTTTATCATATCAAAAGTACTAAAATGCTTGGATAAGAACGTGTTGATTGTTCATATAGAAAAAGTACATGCACCTTTATTTTATCATACTCGCAGGTGGAAACTCACCTATGACGCCGGCCAACATCCACACGCCCAGGATGGCCCCGACGACGGACCTGGAAGCAGATAAGAAAATGGGAAGTCAATAATGGTTTAAAGCTCCTTTTTCTAAATTATATTCTATAAAGAAACAAATCTTCCATATGTGTAAGAAAAATACAAGAAGTGTAGGAAGAATTTCCTCAACCCTTTCTTCGCAGGACCTGAAAAGGGGATGCCCTAACGAGGCCTCGTCGTCTCGGTCCTTCAAAAACCTTTCCTCGGAGAGGGCGCGAGGTTTTTCTACCCCCGTTTTCTAAGGAGACTTGTCAGGATGTATAAGACCCGGTGCAGCGTCACCGGGAGTTCATTACTCCCAGTCAGCGGCGTTTAAGGATCGTCGTTGCGCCGAGAACGACGACGTTAAGCTCCCCCGAGTGATACGGCCTCCTGGAGGCCGCGATAGTTTATGCACCGTATAGGAGGAGCTGTCGGGACGATAAACCGTTGAATTAACGCCAAGTGGAGTGGACGTTTCCCGTGTAAAGCAGTCGAGTCACGGGGACGAGGACCCCAGATCGGCCGGAAGATACCCCAGGAAATGGAACGTACTGTTGGAATAAATTCCCAGGTTAAGGGAAGAGATTTATGACGCGGGGTGCATTCTCCGGCTGCACCGATTCTCCTCTTCCATCCGAGATTTTTGCAATATAAATCAGCCGGTGTCGTTAATTAGCGACAAAATTAAGGGATTAACTCTCTCACTCGTGGACGAAATTCACGAGCATGTACGTACGTGGCAATTTGTAAAGTATATACGGTGTATACATAACATATACTGTATTTATCACTCGACGCCATTAAGCGAGTGATAAAGGACGTCGTCAATAGTGCCGGAGAATGAAAATAATTATAATATGTAAGACGGTGCAAGATATACATTTTTGGACCTTAACAAAATTCCATTAATTCGTCCGGGAATTTATAGAACCACTCGGTATTATATTGTATATTTGATTAATCGCTTATATACGTTGTTTGTCTATAAAGGGATAATTGAAACCGATCATCGATGAGGATCGACGATGGGTGCACAATGCGAGGGTTTCACGAGGATGCGACGTGTAATCCGAGATAGTCCGGGCCCGTAACTAGTGATAGCGTTTATCAACCCTTCGAGAGGGGCCATATATCGTATAATGGTATAATGACCATCAAAGTTCGCCCTATCGTTTCGCGCCGACGGTCGGTTTCTTGTATAGGATGCAGTTTATCAGGGGACGTTTGTCGTTGGTCATAAACGGAAATTCAATGAGCATTCTAGTCCCCAGGATTCGATCGGCGATAAAATCGTTCGCCTCCCTTAATATTTTACGCAGCAGGCGGACAAACCGAGAATCGAATCGCGACAGAAGGCTCTCTTCATTCCAGTCTTTATTTATTGCCGTTTATAGGAGAACGTTTGTTGCTGGTCATAAGCGGAAATTCAATAAGCATTCTAGGGTCGCTAAGATTCCATCGGCGATAAAATCGATCGCCACCCTTAATATTTAATGCAGTCGGCATACAAAACGAGAATCAAATCGCAAAAGGCGCGTCTCTTCCCTCCAGTCTTTATTTACGTACCAGCGAAATCCGAATCCGGGATATCGTCGTCGAGGGAGAAACCGTCGACTCTCGTTCCAGCGAACGCCTCTTTATATTCCCGTTTTCGAAAAACAGGAGCGGGGGCATAGACGATTCTACTCGAGGGAATCCGATCCCTCGGGATCGGATGGGAAAAATCGCGAGAGGGGTGGCTCGCATGCGAATCCGCGCCGAGAGACCCCTGATAAGCCATTTTACGTGCAAACGCGTGTTCCGCCCATTCTAAAGGAGGGACCCAAGAACCTGGTGATCGAAGAAACGTTTTTTATGACGCCCTTGCTCGCACTTACCTCGAGGAGGTCCCTTTACAAATGGGTCTCATCGATTCTTCTACAGGACTTTCATCAGAATTTCTACTCGATAGAAGGATTTAAATTACGAGTTAATTAAACGCCACCGAAATGGGCACTAATGAAATGGGCATTTATTTCAATGTGTATTTGAATCTCATCTCGTATTAAATTCAGATACATTGAAGCACGACTTAAAAACTAATCGAGAGCAAGTGGAACTGTCTACATTTTTTTTTTTTTTTCAGAAGAGTGGAGAATAATTTCAGAATTAATGGAATAGGTGTCACACGGGTTAACGTCAGTTAAGGGGTTACCCGTGGTGTTAACGCCGGTAGGGATGTTTCATTTTCTGGTTTTTGTGGGAAAATGGATGTGAAAATCGAGGAGGTGGAGGGGCTGAGTAGGGTCCCGAGATTCGGCAATCAGCCCCGAAATTCCGCTCCGGTCTCCGCCCTTATCTCTGGGCGATAAATCCACTTTAAACCGTAGAAGTAACTCCCTTTAAACCGTAATTAATACGTCAGAGCTGGCGAGCCTCTCCGGGATAATTGAGGGTCTCTGTCGACCTCTCTTGGTACTTGGAAAGCCGGGATGACTCGCTCGATTTCCCGGATCGACCCTGGACCGGGGAAGCGTCGATCGATCGATCGATATCCGCGGATTCGCGAGTCGCCGGGCTTAATTGGTTCGATGGTTTCGTTATACGCTCGACTTAAAACGGTATCAAGCGACGAGCGTCGAATTTCCTCTCTCTCTCTCTCTCGCTTGTAAAATTGTCAATTTCGCTCGCACGCCCCGTTTTTTTTTCAGCGCCCGTCTCGCTCATTACTTTTCTATTTTTCGTCGATAAAAATCGAGGGTCCTAGCTCGCCGAATCAAAAAATCACCAGCGAGGCATTACCGGATCACTCGAGTTGAGTTTTAACTCGGTCAAGTATCGCGAGATGAAATGTCGTCAAAACATGGAAACCGGAAATTTCGATATCTCGATCCGGGTCTTTTGATTAAATTGAATCGACGAAACGTCCAAATGGTCCTTTCGATCGAACCAATTCATCCTAGATTCACAGCCTAAACTAAAAAAAAATGCCACTGACCCAAAGACATATTTTGCTTCAAATAAACTCGAATGAATAAATAGGGTACATTTCTTTCGAATTATGACCATTTATTTGAATGAAATTCTTTGAATTAACGAAATATTTCTCTGGTTCACTGAATTCTTTTTCTTGACTCGCCACAAGCGACAAATCGACCAGTCAACTGTCGCGAGACAAAAATTCGCGAAAAATTGGAAACTTCGACACCTCGATCCGGGCATTTCCATTGACACGGCTCAACGAAACATCCAAATGGTCCCTTTCGACCAAGAAATTTCATTTCAAATTCGCCCAGTCGCGCCGATCATTTCCTCGACTCGCGAACAAGCGACAAATCGACCGATAAATCGATACCCGCGAGTCTCGTGGTCGCCGGTTTAATTGGAGCGGGGATTTCGCGATAGCCGACTTAATGGCGGCGCGTGATGCAGTTTCGCTCGTGCCGTTTTTGCAGCCTCGCCCGGCGAAATCTGGTCGTGTCAATTTTTTCATCTTTTTCCATCTTCTTTCTCTTTTTTTTTTTTCGAGGGCGAGGATTAAAATAAAACGACCCGAAATCGCCGTTCCGGAAGCGCGAGCTCTACGGCGCGAGAGAGAATGGCGGGAAAGAGAGAGAAAAATCCACCAGGATTCGCCGGGTCGCCAGTTTTTCGGATCCCGCTAATGGACGCGAAACTCGAAACGGGATTTCACCTGCCGAGCAAATTTCGGGAATTGAATTAGAATCGGGTGCGACCAAGTAACGAGAATCGGGCGCGAATCCCGACTGACGGATCCCCCGGGATAAGTTGCACTTTCAAAAATAAAAAAAACATATTGTATTCCGTCACACTTTTCCAGACACGACATAAGTACTATCTTTTATAACATTATATACACGTATTTCATAAACATGCATTTTAAATTTAGTACACGTATATTTTAATTTTCCGGCACTATTTCCGAAAATTCCACCGCTCGTCATGAGTTTCTAAAACCACTTTGAAATTCATGAAATTTATGCCCGTTAAATTCATATTCAAGATATAAAAAATATATAAATAAGATTTATAATTTTAGTATAAATTTGTAAGAGCGTAGGAATTTTCGCGGAAATTCGGTAGTTTCAAATCCATGCCCATAAATCCCGTGCTCATGAATATATTTATATCCTTAACGGTGCTACGTACATCGGGATGAAATCCGAGGTTCCGATTCGATTAATTCGGCGCCTTTTTGCACCAATAAAAAGAGAGATTGGCTCCCACCTGGATATGCGATATCGGAAAGTTTCTTTCCGTGACGCGTTCGCGCACTCCCGGTCTCGTCTCCCGACTCGGGTTCGTTTTCTTGCCTTCCCTCGGGAACACCTGCCGGCCAACTTCCTCCCCCTCCCGGAAAACTTATTCCGATGCTCTTTTCCGCACGCACTTCGGCTCCGAGAGAAACTTCCGAGGGCCGAGTCGAGTCTGATCGTTCCTTATTGCGGAAAGTTTCCACATCCGCGGAAACTCCACCCACCCCCGGTCCATTTTGATTATTTTCATATTACTCCTGGCGGCATCCTCTTGAAAATTGAATTTTCCACGTGCCCAACAATAGTCATGATTTCGCAATTAGGAATGCATGGGTTCGTGCGTTGTTAGTAATTTACCCCTGGGTCTCTTTTTACACGGTGGATGCGCCCCGTGAAACAAGAAAACGTGCAAAAAAAGGGACTCATTAAAATTCATGGAGAGAACGGATTCGCGGGAAAAAAAAAGAAAAAAGAAAAATTACTTTCCGCGGCCGTGTCAGAGTTAATAAAACGTGTTGGAGAAGAACACGGAAACACAACAATCGCGTAAGGGGAGGAACACCGAGGTGAAAAAAGTACAGGGTGGAAGGGTGCGTAGGTGAACTCGAGACGACTGATATCGGCACGTTATCTCGAATAAGGGGAAATGTTTTTCCCAATTTTCCGCCGGATTTCCATCTTGTGTACCTTCGGCTAGCTCTCGACATGTCGCGCTTATTACGCCCAGGGTAAAGGGCCTTAAGGGGGTTAATAATTTTAGC